CCGACTCGTATGAGTTTCTGAATCATGCTGATATTTATTATTCTAGCCTACTTTTGAGATAAAAATAATTTTAATACAAATGACATGGTGTTGCAGTTCATCTTTCTGTAATCATACGACAGTTAAAACTACTTGTCTTTCATGGTCTGCGCACTTTACAAAAATCGTAGCGAAATAAAAATAAAGTATTAGTCAAATAAAAAAGATATAGTTTTCAAAACTATAACTTTTTTATCATGTAAACAAGTCGGTTATTAGAAATGGCAAATCGATAACGATTGACACTGACGCATGTACTTGAAAGCCACTACGAAGATCGATTGAACTTCCTCTCTTTCTCTCTCTTTCTCTATCTCTCTCTTAGGTGACATATTTTTACTGAAAAAACGAACGCGTTCTATCCTTTTATTGCCAACGGCGACGTTGTTAGTGGAGCAGCTCTGCAACAATGACCCGCTGACATGAAAACTTACTTTTCCTCCCTTATCAGCGTGTGCGAGTTCTTCAACTCATCATCTATACTTATAATGCAACCATTTTCATTTTTTTTCAGTTTTATTTATCCATTGCTGATTGTAGACTCGGGGGCTCGTGCACTGACTGTATACGTACGCTCGCGTTATCATGGCCGTGTGAAGTAGAAATTAAAGATTGATCGCATTGATTTAATTATGATTGAAAAGGAGAATTGTTTCAATAGATCGAAACATTGTTTCTCATGATACTGTTCTTAGATTTCTTAGTTTCTTAGATTTATACTGTTAATCAAGTATTTCAATAGTAGACGTACGATAGGATCAAAATAGCGTCATCATTTCTTAATAAATCATACAAAGAATTTTAAAAACAAAATTTGTATTAATATTTTATTTGTTTGAAAGTGTTTGAGCGTCTGAACAGAAGCCTCTTAGATAATTAAATTAAAAATCACTTATCACTGTTGCATGTATAATTATTGATAACGAATAGGTTTGATTCATTGTTACTTGATAATTTTGATCCAACAAAAATTAATGAAAGTCAAGAATACATTAGAAGTTTGTACATGTGAATAACTTTACAGAAGTATTACAGAATAACAGAATGCTTGTCATCATGAAATTTGAAATTTTATAATCGGCATCAAAAAGTACAAGCACCTTTGAATATAAGTGATCGTCGATCTCTCTTACGCAACTCAGTTTTTGTCGAAAGTAAGACTCGATCGGTCATCGCAGCGTATCCGTTGATATAAAACAAATTACAAATTAACGAATCCCCGAAATAATCGCAATTCATCATATCCTTATCGGTTATAGTCATCGTCTCACGTTATCGCCGTCACGGAATGTGCGTCTCGTCGTAGGGGATATAAACATTCGCAAAAGTAAGGCTTATTTACAACTACTGCACGTGTGGTTTCTCAATTGCTAGTGTCATTGATTGCTTATCGATAATAAATAAATGGAAGCTTACGTGTTGAAAAAATCCTTCAAAACAATCGGTACAAGGTGTCTGCTGCGTGTCGATTTGTAAAAAGAAGAAAAAGCTGACGTAAACATTGGCTATCAAGTCGCTTGTGACAATGCATGCAAGAAAAATGGAATCGTAAACAGGGGTAAAATAATCTCTATAGAGAGGAAGAAGAGAAAGAAAGATCGTTATCTCGATTTATCCAGTTTAGTCCGACAGACGACTAAAATCGATGAATCTGAGTGAAAATATTCCGTAATACCTGCATTAGTACATTACGATACAAGTGCGGGAAAGTAGACTTTCAACCCCGTCTCGCTTGGGCGTAAACGCCACACGACACGACAATCTCTTTCCCGAACATGTATCGTATGGTATTTTTCGACACTCGACTCTACGAACGCTAGAGGAGTCGAGCATGCTTCTCAAAATGTAGTTTCGCACCCATTGTATCGAATAATAAAGTAAAACTCATGCGCAAGAAAGTTATTTTAGCCTCGTGCGGCCTCTTCACTCTCGGTTCGCTCGGACGCAAACGTCCACACGAGGCTGTAAACGTTTTCGCACTAGTACCAAAATGTACTATTAATACTCAGCACCTTATCTAACCAACACACACGCGCGCACAAGGATGAAGATATAAGAGGCATGAATGCGTCCACGAGCAGCTCAATACCTGTCGAACTAAGTGTAGTCAGCAACGCTTGCCTCGTCCGAAGTTGTTGTGACGCGACTTTGAAATTTCCCTATGCAAGTAAACATGGCGCGTATAGCTATACGGTTGCACCTGAGAAAACTCTGCAGCCGTGTGGTAACCGCTTCTCTTGTGGAATAACGATCTCGATCTAATCCGCTTTTCTCATAAAATACGAGCGAAATTTACGTGAAATATGACGTGGAAAAGCCTTATGGCGTCGTGTCTGCGCGTTAATTTTCACGTGACACGATGTTGCCAAATTGTACCGAAAAGTTTCACTCTGCTTAGCTAGGTAAGCGACTCCACCTACCCCATAAATCTCGCCGGACAGTCAGTAGTTGTCGGAACGCCGTTGCCTGTGCGTCGTGTCAGTCATTTTCTGCCTGTACTGAGTTTTCACTTCTGACGTGCGTGGTTCCAGCGCGACCTTTCTGATACATAACATCGACAGTTATTTCAATCTGAGAGCTGCGTCAAATCCAAGGCATACGAAAAAATGACTGTTACCAGTGTTGTTTGTAAGTAAACAATGTTACTAAAGCTTATTTGCATCGTAATTCTCTCGGCGCACCTATCAATTTTGTATGAATTTTCTTAGGGTATTTCAAGGTTAGTTAACGAAAATCCAAGTACTCAACAGCTGTCTACCGAAAGTATAGTTATTTTAGCAAAATTTTAATTTTTTGACGTTTATTACACAACAAAGTTCATTACTTTGAAATAATAATTTATTAAATTAGAAAAATCTGTCAAACTGATAATTAAACTGTTCAAGAACGGCTTTCTTGGAAAAGCGTTCAACGTCATCGACGAACAAGATGATAAACTTATTTATAATTTTACTTTTAAAATAGTTTTTTTCTAGAATGCTAAACAGCATCTCATGATTCTTCAACAACTAGTCAGTGATTCATAAAATATTTATTTAATTAGCATACTTCTCGATGCAATGTATTCTTATTAAATAAACTTGTGGATTTGTACCGCGCTAGGAATTCGAGCAATGTTGCTACCGACCGATAACGCACTTGTGCATATTTCCGTTTGTGATACTCTCTTGAAAAGAAAATTGCTAATGTTTTCTCAACAATCGATCGAACATTGATATAAATGTTGTAGGAATATTGTTCAGCGATTATTAATTTCTGTGATAAATAAAGAACTAACGAACAGCCGCTATAACATTATAAATTATTGTTACTTTCTTAAAACTTTAATTTATAATTTACAAATTAATAAAATCACCATTTATATTCATAACACGAATTATTATCTCCTTTTTCAAAAAATATTGTACTCGGATAATTTATTGCTAGACTTCAAAATTAAATGAGATTGTCATAAACTACGCTGATTTATCATACTGTTTTATACAGCGTTGATTTTATCGACGTCTTATCCTTCAATTAATTTATGTAATTCATTTGATACAGTATTGGCGATGTTTAAGATGCTCTTATCTGAATGAAATATATATCCAGTAATTTATTTTTTGGCTATCACATTACTCGCTAAATATATTGACGCACAAATGCTAATACGGACAAGCATTTATTTGAACTACGAATTTAGTCGGTAGTATTTTTCGCAAATGGCAGAAAAATTTGATAAGAGTAGAAGTAGAAAATTATGATATTATAATATCTACTTAAACATCTTGGGAAAATAAAGCAATATACACTAATGAAGATTTTTCTGAAATGAATACAATATTTGCCTGAATAATAGAGTTCATTTTGTTAAGATTTTAATATCATTAAGAATTAATTTGTAAAACTTCGACCACCCTTTTACAGGATTACCTATAATAAATCTAATTTTCTCTAATTTGTTTTATTTAAATCATTTTTCGATATATATTTTTTACCGACAAATTATCGTATGTTGTTCTTGAAGTTTGTACAGTCATCACCAGGAAAATACAAAAAAATGAGTTTCAATATCGAAATGCCTTAATAGAGATTTTTGGTATGATTTCACTTTTACGTATATAGGTACTTGTATGAGTAATTTTTTGCTCGAATCAATTTCATTACTAGAAAGTGGTGGGTCCATATAAAATACATATAAGGTTACCGACACTTACCGACATACCTTGAATATTACATTATTCTCATCCAGTTTTGAATTACGAATAGCTCGGTCATTCACTATTCCTTAAGATAATCTGATTAATAAAAAATGCGTTATTTATCTATATAAACGGTCATTCATCTATATAAAATCTGCAAGATAAAATGTATAAGTTAATATATTGATGATCTATACATTATCATATTTATATTTATCGAATCAATAATGCACGATTCTTCACTACGTCAATTCAAAATTAGAGATAAACAATTTTGTACACATTACTTGTTATACGTAAGTACATAGGAAATTTGGTTCTCGTTCAAGATTGTTTTTGAACAATTTAGGCATCGGTCTTTTACAAATTTCTTTTCTTTTATTTAAAAAATCAAAAGCTACTATACATTATTCTCCTTTATCGCATGAGCTTTCGTTGACAATGCGTGTTCAGCTGTGCGTTATCAGTTATGTCACGCACATACTTGCTACTGATGTAGACGGTTGATTTTTCAAACCTGGATAAGGAGATGTCTAATCTTTATCATCAATTTTGGCATATTATATTAAAATAGCATATTTGTAATTTTTATGGTTCTTATTGTATCTTTATTTTGTAGTAATATCGAGTAATCTGATTCTTCAAACGCCTATCGAAGAACATTGTTTATATTTTCTTTATATTTCAAACATTGTGTAAAATAAAAAATATTTGCTTGAAAGTAACGAGTGACATATTTTAGTGTATAGGTAATAATAATCAATTAATTGTTTGTTGTAGCGCTATCTACTGCGTCTGAGGATGTAGGAGAAGGTATTCAATCACCAGAAAATGATACGAGTGAGTAACTTTTTATTCTTGTTTTTAATTAGAACATAGAAAAACTAAGGATAAACGCGTGTTTTAAAAATGAAACTTTATCATTTACTTACTCTAACTGCATGACTTATAGGAAATAAGTTTCTTTATCGAATAATTCGTTAATGAATGCAACAATTAAATAAAAAATGCATCTTACTATCGGCTTGCGCGCTTTTTATATACTCTTTGTTATTTTATCAGTGAATGAAAGAATTGACGGAATGGACGCGACAAAAGTATTCGTGATAGTACTTGTAGCATGAATGTTAATTATAATGACCACTGACATAGTATCAAATTTTAAAAATCGGTTTACCCGTGATCGGTAAAACAGATAACTCAATATAAGTTTATACCATATATGGAGTCGTACTTCAAATATCCCTGCAGTTGAACGTGAGAGACGATAAAACAGACTGCTACTTCAACGACTGACAACCACCTGTTACCTGCAGTGATAAAAGCAGCGCTTATCTGGTGCCGATTACCCGTTGCGACACCTGTCGCCCGTAAATATCTACCTGACAGGTGTCACTTCAGTGCTTTACCCTCAAATTTGAATTGTGGCGCATCGGAGTCCTCAGGTACCCACAGCCATTAAAACGAAACGAAACGAAGTGCTTTACCGATCACGTACAAACCACATCGAAGCTAAACAGTCCATCGTTATCTTTTGGAACTACAATCGATTTTTTTAACTGCATAACAAAATATTTAAATAATTCATTTAGCCTTAATAGCTTCAGATTTGTCGGATAATTATGTACAATTTTTCATTGAATAAAATAACTTAATCTAGCGTATATCAATATTTTTTTGCATATGAACTCACTTTTAGTTGGAATACCAACAATATTGGCGTAGCCTTTGCACGAAATATCGAAGCTCTCTTGTAAAACTAATGTCCCGCTGTGCTAAACTCTCTTGACGAGCGAGTATCATTTTTATTAATTTTTTCCAATTTAGAGAAGCGCGCGAGCGAAGCATAACATCAGTTGTCTCTTATCTCTATATGTACGAAAAGCCGCGTCGAAAGAGAAAAAGGAATATATAGTACTATATCATCTTACGCTTGCGTTGGCGAATAAAGCACTAGGGATTTTTTTCCGCGTGCATATGTACGTGTCCCCCTAAAAAAGGAAAGAAAGAGTAGATAGCGAGTATTCATATACAAAGATATACACGTACACGCGCGCACACACGCACATACATCAATATCAAGCTTGAGCGCGGTTCAATTGGTGATTAACCCTCGCGTGGCACGCAGCTGCTTCCTGAATTCGCGAGTCCGCGTGACTCTTGTCCCACGATTCTCAATGTGTCTGAGTGTGTATATTTAGGCGCACGTATGCGTAAGCGTGCGTTATGATGAGACGAGATTAATGGAGCGACTTGTGAAGTTTTTGCTTGTTTTCGACGCAGCTCCAGTTGGCGACGACGAAGATAATCAAAGGTTAATTGTTGTTTGTCACTTGAGCGGGAACGGAACAATGGCATCATTTAGCCAGCATCAGGGTGTGTTTGCAGTAACGAAACGCTCGATCGAATGAAGATGCAGTCGACGTGCAAGATTTGTCGCAATCGTGCCTCCTCCGAGGCAATCAACGATAGAGCCGCGACAACGATGAAACACCATTGACCGTGCTGCAGCAAGCTCCCCGGAAAAACATACGCGCGCACAGAGTCGATCGATTATAAATAACCATGTGCGCAGTTCGGTTAACGCATTTTACCGTCAAAAGAGAAGGCGAATCCGGACGCTGTTCCTCGTGGCACCGGCACCAGGATGAATGACGCGACCACGAGATTCGGGCAATTACGTTATGGTAATGTCACACCCGCATGCGTATCCATTTGTGCCAGCTGTACATTTCTCGTGTGTAGCGTGACAAAAGGAGAAGAAAGAAGCTCGCTCACGGCCAAGTGATGTTTTTGGTTTTTAGACGAGCGAACAAAAAGCGCGTTGGATTAACCATCACGAGCAGTGTGCCGAGGAGCTTTGCCAAAAGTCCACGTAGAAAAAGACGAAGGAGACTGCATGCAGTTTGCTGCCAAGATCTTCCAGCAACAATGGTCCTTTGTTGGGTCTCTCTCTCTCTCTCTCTCTCTCTCTTTCTTTCTGGCTCCGTGGAGTAGCTGACACTTATTATGTGTGTATGTGCGCCGTAACGGTTGGTGGCCTCGAGGAGAGCAAGAGATCGCACGCGCCTAGCAACAAGTCGCTTTAGACGCCGCGCGCACACGTACATACGCGCGACATTGAATATTTCCCGCCATCATCAAGAGCCATTGCTGCCTATGACCTCATGCCACATCCCCTTTCGGTCGATTAGCCGCTTGTCTTTCGTACGGTCCTCTAAATTGGCGCGCGCACGCTCTTCCCAGCGATGCTCCTCTCTCCTCGATGCGTGGGGCCACGTGGCCTTTCCATTTCGGTTTGGGAATGTCCTCCGCGCATATTCACCGACGCATCACAGGGAGAAGAAGAGCGCCGACGCATAAGCCCAGACGCGCCAAATTAGAGACTTCTACCGCCGCCCGATCCTTACCGTGTGTCGGACTCTCTCTCTCTCTCTCTCTCTCTCTCTTTCTCACGCACTCTCCGAGTTGCCTTGCCAAGCAACGATCCCGAACATTACAGACTGCCTTGCGTATTTCCAAATAGCCTAGAACGATTTGAAAATCATTTGATCAGCCGTGAAACATCATTGAACCGATATTGACATCGAAAGCGCAGTAATCCAGTTATCCTCGGAAATTCACATGACGCTTGTAGACGGAATATTTAGGCGTCTCGTGACGTAGATACTCTACGACTATAATAAAAACAATCCGCGATCGTATCTTGCCTCTATCAGGCAGGATTTACATCGATGTCGGAATGTTAAATTTAGTCGAAAACGCAAAACATTGCGAGGGCTGCGCTATTTTGGTCAAAATTTCCACTTCCTCAAAACGTCACGGGAAATAAAAAAAAAGAAAGAGGAGAACAACGAAACTAATCGACAAGTGCCACGGAGTAACTTCTTATATGATTTACCTGGAGGTCGAACATTCTCCTATGATACAAGGTCGCGCTTCGACCGGCTACGCGATGACGACGAGCGCGCAAAACTCGTCTCTCTCGCGTGCGCTTTTGATCAGCGGATTTTTGAATTATGAATGCTCGCAGGGAAAAGCTCAACGTCAGCGATTCATCGATATCCTCTGTTTATCCCCTTTCAATGTTTGATGACGGCGCGACGATTGTTTAGTCGCAAAAGGTATCTGATTGGCAGCGTATCAAATCGTGTGAAATGCACCGTCGATCGATAGACGAACGGCCTGCGGAATGTTATTTGTCAACGCGCGGCAAAGCTCGTGAAGCTTCAAATATTTGCGAGCTGCAAACAAATTTCCAGCGGATTATTCGAGAATTTCTCTGTAGCAAATATTATTCGTGGTCGATGTCGCGTATCAAGAGTATTCGAAGGCTTCTTGCTCCGTTGTAATGTTTCTTCTGATATAGGTACCCAAGCACTGAGTTTGCCATCCAATGTTAATGGTTCTTCATCAATTATAATTATACAATAATCTCATTGACGTAGCTCGCTACGTTATGACGCTGTATCGATCAAAATCACCATTAAGAAAATTGCTGGGTTAAAAATACTTTTAATATTTTTCACCTGTCGATAGCATCGCAAACAGTGCGTTCGATTTTTCTGATCTAAGTATTATTTTTTTCAATTCGATTATTAAATATTTGGTTTCGAGTGACACACAAATTTTTAATGCCCTACTTGTTCCAAATATCATCGCAATATCATCGCAGCAGGATTTTCGGTAATAAATGTCGGAATGTCCGAAAGAAATAAGGAAAACAATAACCAAGTAAAGCAGGTAAAGTAAGCGCCGCGCGTAATTACCATGATGTGCAGGTAACATATCGAGCGATTCGGTCAAGGAATTTTCGCGAATGGCCGCTACCGATTCACATTGACGTGTACGTGTGTACTTTAGATGACGGTTATCGACCGCAGCTCATGCGACCGCGACATTGCACTTCATCCATGTACATTGTCAAGGACTCAACCTCGCAAGCTCTATACCGCTTTTTTGTTGCACGTATGCATGTGCGTCGCTTGCAAAACTACACGAAACACCGTGCGCCGTGAAAGTATCAGCGTAAAATCACGAGGTTTCGCACGCGTAGCTCTCTGCTTACAAAAGAGCGAGCTTCGCGCTCGAACCTATATATAAATCATCGGCTAATAAATTTTGATCAGTCGCGAAGAAACAAGGCTGCCAAATGTGTCTCGCCAATTTGCGAAATTTCGACGCGTCGCCGTATCCCCTTGATTGTTTTTGTCTGGAAGATTTTATTGCTTCGGTTAGACGAGTTCGTTAGCTTTCTCTACGTATAACAGGTTCTTATCAAGGGTCACTTGCAAAGATCATTTGTCGTGACGCAACGACCCCCAACGGTCTCAGTGTAAGCGATATTTTCGCATTTCTCGCGCGCGAGTTGTTGCTTTCCGATTTTCTTTTCTTGTTTCTTTTTCGTTACTCTAGCTGCGGAAAGTTTGTTTTCTTAAGCATTGGTTTATCGCCGGCACTTGTTTGCGCTTGAACATTTATTTAACGAGCTATTTTTTTAAAAATTTACAATTCAAACTGTAGATCGTTAAATCTCGTCGCCTTTTGTTATCAGCTTATGTAACGCGGATCACGAGAAAGATTCTTCTCGAATATTGTTGTGTACTCAGCTCATCACTCACGCTAAAGCCAGGTGAAAAAAAAGAAAAAACAGGTTATTAAAATAAATAAAGAAATAGAGCAATACTAGTTGCTTTCAGAACTGCGAAGACTATGTAGTTCGTCGTGAGCTTGCCGCGCCAATTTTGTTAATATTGCATAAGTCGTAATTATCCAAAGGGGATAGTGAAAAAACCTAATTACGATAATTTGGAATTCCGGAATGAATTGCCGACAGAAACATGATTACTTGGCCTTCGGGTCATCGTCGTCATAAACTTTATTTCTGTCTTCGTCGGCGCCGGTCATTTATTTATCTCTTTAAAGTTCAATTGGCTCAAAAAACAGATAATACGAAGCTACCCATCTAAAAATAAATGAGTCATTTAGGTAAAGATGAGAGTGAGAGAGAGAGAGCTGCAAAAATAATAGTTCTATTTCAAATGCACGGCGGTGAAGTGTCCAGATTGTCGGCGACGCACACGTGCGCTGCAAACCTATGGACCTTGGCGTGCACTCGTTTTCAGAGGTTATCGCAACTCATAGTGCAGAGAAGAACTGTCTACGATTTTGTTTTCCTTTCTTCTTCTTTGTTCGATTAATCGACATTTCTACAATTCTGCTGGCTTTTCCTCGCAAATTTTCAAAATTCTTGCGATGCGTTCACTTGCTTTGACGAGAGGCGTACGATGCTCACGTGTAATGACAAGAATCGACTTGCACGTTGAAAACTCGCAGGGCTTTAGGTAACGATGCCAAGAATTTTTCAAATATTCAGCTGAAAACGTTACTCAACGACACGTAACTCACATGCAAGCGATGATGTGTGTGAGAAGAAGTCGAAAGGGAAACCACAAATATGCAATCTGTTACACGGCTCGTCAGTTTTTTTTTCTTGTTGTGATTCATGCCGCCAACGAATGTCTAGAATTTGTCAAGCATAACACGCGACCAGTTATGTCAGATATTCAGCAGAAAAAACGTATAATGGACCGTGTGGCCAACACACTTTAATGACTTGGGCAAAAGGCTGGTGAAATTTATTCGAAGGCTCCCTGACCCCAAAAAAAAATAATAGGAAGTAGCTCCGAGCCACAAATAAACAAACGAATAAATCGAATGTAAATACTTGCGATCCCAAGAATGCATACTGCAGCGGACTCGTTGCGTCTGCGCGTAGGAAGAAGTGCAATAATTATTTCCTCGTCGGTAGTTAAATTAAAAATAAGCTCGATGTGGCGACGAAAATATATTCCGGAGCAAGCGAACTAAAAACGATGGCGCACTGCGCGCGCGGTAGTTAAAATTATCGTCGAACGCGGCGCGCACGACAATTGTAAAAGCTGCCATAAAAATGTGAAAACGACGAGGCCATGCCCAGAAACAATAGCAGGCGCGCGACGCGAAAGCAAAGTATAACTTCTTATCGAGAGAGAGAGAGAGAGAGAGAGAGAGAGAGACAAAGCCAGGAGAGAGGCGTCTAGCCGAGAGACAAGGCGTCCTACGAGCGTTCGGCCGGCTCGCAAGCTCGCGCGGCGCGGTTGACCCAGTCTGCCCAAAGTAGAGCGCCCTCGGAATGCATGCGCAGGGCACGAGAGGAAAGAGAAGTCGGCCGTGCGTCACACATGCCGCCGTCGACGAGGCCGTCGAGGCCCACCCTAATAGTCGGTGCCGCTGCTCTGCCGTTGCCATACTATTTTAACCCACTACACACAAACAGACACGCATGCACGCGCACACACTGGCCTGGATTGTTATAACGCGACGCGGACAGTGAGGAGAATCGCTTGGATTATTGTTCCGTGCTGCGATTGATTGTCTCGTATTTGAAGAAGCTCGGGCACGTCATTGAGCACTCGCTTCCGTGTACTTGTCTTGGCCGGGGGATGCATCAACTTGTTATTCTCAAGCCGTACGTAGAATCAATCGAACGGCACTGAGTTCAGCGTTACTCGCGCAAAATCATTCAAAGAAAAGATAGTCATTCACGAGTGATTGCGCGGCATAGTCGAGTGAGACGCCGAACAGCGCCGTTAAATTGATCAAGTTTGCTAATGTAAACATTATGAAAAGTTGACAAGTGTTGAGGAATATCGAGTTTTACGCAGAAGACCTTAGAGCTGTTGTATATTTGACGGGAAGACAGTAGAGCAAACGTGAAAGTGTCCGACGAAAGTCAATGAAATGCGCTTCACCAAACTAATCCAAGACGTAGTTTAGCCACGGCCAGTGACTAAGAGCTTCGTTTTCGATAACTTTAATTATCCTTGTGCGCAATGTAAGCACACGATATATAAAGACCTCTTCTCCATACTGTTACACGTGAAAAATAGCCGAACAGACGTAATGGAAGAGTTTTGTAAGGTATAGCGACAAAGAAATCGACTTCGAGAATCGTACGTATTTATAGGAATCTAATGATTTTCGAGAATATAGCGTTGCTTGCTGCTTGAAAGCGATCGATGCCTGAGCTTGAAGCAACGGTGACGCCGTATGCATACGCGCGATCGTCGTTAACGCTGTGACGCAGCCCCACCTCGACTTTGCCTGTGTTTTGACTTTCAGCCACAATTAACCATATTTTTTACTTGTTACAGATTCCTTGCAATCGTTGTCGCATCTCGGTGAGTCTTTTCCTGAGACAAAAGATTACGACTAACCATTATATCACTCATCGATCGCCTGTATACGCTATAACACACCTCGTGTATATGTACGACAAACATCTATATACATGGTTTTCTAGCAACTAACTCTCTATGACTCACATTTCATTTCATTACGCAATTTAACGGTGTAAGGGGCCTATTTTTAGTCTATGTATATCGTATCGACGATGGGTGCATGTTATGATATTAATTGATATGGATGACGATAGCGTGATGCGCGAGTACACAGAAACAAGTATTATTCGACGCACACGTGTCATGGCAGCAATCAAAGAAGCGAGCTCTACCGTTTATTAAAAAGCTTGCATGCAAAATGCCCATATAACCGTAGTCTTTCCCCGTTCGTCCTAAATTTCAGGTCTAATTATATTCACAAAACGGAAAGTCCTTTTACTTCCCTCCCAATTCAAATAAACCGCAAGCAGCTGGTGGCGTTTTCATGCGTGTTTACCGAAGGCCAGCTTTTGCTTTCCTTGTACGAAAGCTCTGGCTACGCTAGTTTGAAAATTTCGCGCGTGTGCGCAATCTCCTTTCGAGTCTCGCGCAGCTCGCCAAAGACGCGAAGGAACGAGCTAAAAAAATAAATAAATAAATAAATAAAAAGAAAACAGTCATTGTTCGCGCGCGATCGCGTTACACAAGCCCACGCGCGTCAGAAATGAATGGCGAGCGCCGATTTTTCTGCCGAGTATGCGATCGCCACCACCCCCGTTCGTTTCCGTGACTTCGCGCGTGCTTTGTTTATCTTTCCGTTCAAAATAATGCGCAGTGGCACAGTTTTGATTTGTTTATAAGATAGTGGCTGAGATTAAAGGGGGGGGGGGGGTTGAGAAAACGTCAAAGAGGGTCTTAAGCAATGGTTTGGCTTTAGAGACATAAATGGGCATCAGAGTATCCGTCATCCAAGTCTATAGGATACATGCATTTGCAGTATGCGCACTTTTACATTTTGAGCGTCTTGTTAATGAATCACTTCGTAAGATAGCTCTTATCTTGCGTGGGTGTCGTATGTTTATACTATGCTTAACTAGAAATAATAATTTTAGTCGCTCGACCTTGCTTCCTTTTTTTCTCAAAGTCGAGACCTTCCATTGAGCGAATTCAATCGCAGACGCATTCGCGCGGAGCTTTTCTCTTACCTGGCGTGCTGGAGTTTCCGTTTCCCAAGTGGCATTCTCAATCGAATCTCAAGTTTCGCATGCGCGTGCGCGCGATGAAAAGCCACACCGGAGCGTTGACTTTTGACTTGCACGTGCACCCTTTTGAACTGGTTGACCTGCTCGAGTTGCGGCTCGGAGCATCTTAATTCCACGTGAATCGGAGAAAGCGACACGCATGACGGCGATCGCACGTGAGCCGCGCACACACTTCTGTTTTTTTATCTAATCTGCATCGACGGCTCATAAATATTTCATCTCCCTTCTTTTTTCCTCGATGATTACCTTGAGTCGAGCTTGCGCGAGCACGCGCACTCCTAACCATTGTTTTCTCTGCCTTTTCTTACTGGTTCGAGTGTATGGCACGTCGATGTCGAGAACAAAATTATGAGATTAAGACCAATTTGAAAGCTTGTTACTGAAGACATTTGTTCCGGTTAGATTGTAGTACTCATCAAGATTAAGAGTAAGGATCAAACTCATTTTTGAATTGAATAAGCAGCTTTAGCGTCAAGCAGGAGATTCGAAGTATTATTCATTTGAAGTGCGCAACGTGGAAAGATCAAGGAGCCGGAACGGATTCCAGTAAAGCCATACACAAAAAGCAAATCGTTCGATCGGCAAATGCATTGTGTAAAAGCTCGCGTCAGAATCCGCTTAGCGTGTAGAGAGAAGATGTGTGTGTCACCACTCCGGCGCAGGATATTGATGCAACTAATGACTATATATCTTGCTGCTCATTAGTGAGCCTTTCCCCGCGGGCGCCGCAATGTGCAAATATTTAAATCCGATAATATCGGCGCCAACGACGATTATCGATTTAAAAGCTTCGCGTCAGACTCGCGTAATTTTCATTATTATTATTATTTTTTTTCACGCGACGATCAATACAGTGCAAATGGACCGTCTCTAAGAAAAAAGCACGCTTATCGCCAACGCCATCAGGGACACGTGCTAAGCGATTAGGCTGATGAATATTCGGGCAATTAGCCAGTTGTTATGAAGGCGACGTGCGGCACCTGTCTAGAACAATCAACAACAATATTGTCGCTTTTCTTTTTGAATTTTCACTTGTGGAAGATATCAGCTTCTTATTGTGAACTCCGATTCGTCGGGTACATAAAGGTCGAATCAATTCCATTAGAGAATTGGTTACGCATGAAAAGCAAAAAAAAAAACAAGATTATAAAGCGCGAAATCGACAAGTTGTGGAAAATCAATGATTTGCGGTCGATAAGCAGGTGGATTTGCTCGCTTCTTTCATATGATTCAAGCGATATTCACGTAGCCAGGCGATAGAGGACAAAAGATAATCTTCGAAGGCAATCGATTAAAATGCAAATATGTTTCGCTTTATTGTTGAGCGCGCAAAGTGTGGCGAGAAGAAGCGACAAAAAAATATAATCTACACTTGCTGGTGATGACGTAATGATTCTGGATGCACTCGTGCGAGAGAGTCGTGCAGTTTTGCAAATAATTATCTGATTTTCTAATGTATTTTAAATGTCTAATCACGTCTGATTACACTGTGCATATGCATGATAGCTTAATACAAAAAAAGCTAGGAAATTAAAGCGTCTCTCTCTCTCGTCTGTTCGAGATATGAAGTTTCTTCAACAAATAAATTTTGATCATCTTCGCACAGCCTGGTGATGAGGAATCTCGAGTGAGCTTCGAAATAGAATTCTGATGCTCGGCAATGGCTGAATTCTCGCGATTAGACCCGCCAGCAAACTCGTGCAATATCTTAATGGACATTTCAAGGAAAGACTCGAACGCAGACGTAGACATGAAAATTTTCAGGCGCGCATTTGCAAGTGCAGTCGATTATTATCCAGCCGCATCGAAAAAGCTCGCGCGCTTGCGCATCTCCGCGAGATGATATTTTACGACTGCTCGCAGATGGGTCTCGCGTCGACTGACGTCAGTAACGTCACGAGATTTTTTTCACCTAGCCGTCTGTCAGGAAATGACGTGTGTTTCTCGAATTTCAAGGTCGCCGCGAACATCCACGCGCGAGCTTCTGCTGCGAACTACATTATAAACGGTTCGCGGAGGGAAGTAATAGACAGGCGATGTCCGGTAAGGCTGCTAAATTATATTACAAAAGAAGCCTGTAAATAGTCGAGTTTTTCTTAGTATGCAGAATGGAATTTGCCGCGTATCTTGTACAACGTCGATTAGATGAGAAAAATTCGTACGACGAGTTGTTTTTAACGTCGCATTTTTTATTCAATGCTGATTAAATTAAATGCGAGATTATGGCGAGATAACTCGACAGAAACTTCGATGCATCAGAGCTATATACACCTGCATAAAAACTGCTGGAATGTTCTGTTAAGCTAGTTTCATAACAATATCAAGCCCTCTCGCGCGAGATTATAGCTTTCAAGCTTGCGCGTGTATCGGCCGAGGAAATTTTCTTTGTTTTTCTATCGCTCGCAAGTGGCACGACAATGAATTGCTAATGTCACGCACATACATGCGGGAGAGCCCATGTAAATCGGTTATGGATTTCAAGGGCCTCGACAAGGTCGTGGCACACTTGCCTCGATAAGATTTTCATTCCTTCCAACGCGAATTGTAAGTTCAAGGCGTTAGTTTATTAGCATTTATTAACACGCAAGCAATGTTTTTCGAGGGGAAGGGGAGGGGCAAGGGGGGAGGAAGAGGGTTAACGAGTTTTTCAATCATCGATTTCATGCAGCGTTATGCAAGTCTTACGTCATATATGCGCATAAGTATGTCATAATCCGAAGCGTTTAATTGACAATTCACCGCATGTAATGTGTATCGGAAAAATTTTACGTGTGCGCGGATATCGAGCTAATTAATATTAGTCGAGTTGATGTTGTGACAGCTTTTGCAATTAGCCGTGATTAAGCTGCTGCGATAGACAACTGTGGGATTAAGAAAATGTTATTTATATTATAGTTATCTATTGATTTGACACTTACCTTTAATTCACATATAATAAGCCACGCTATTCATTTCTTCGTGAAGACACGATAAAATTATTTTATTTTCAAAGATATTATTATCATGGGTGACAAAAATGTTGCTTCTTTCATATTGGTTTATGTAATGCATATTATTTTCAAATTCCTACTTTTAACGTTGACCAATCAGTCGATTTAGTTCCATCCAATGTTTTAAACGTACACCTTTGAACGTTCGTTTTTGAAATATTCACGCAATCGGAAGCTTCCAATAACAAATTAATTAATCTATATCAAAGTAATCGAGCTTTCAAGTTCATGCAGAAGCAAAGAAAAACCCTTTCGATCGGTCGCAAATATTACGATATCAATCTCAGACGATGCAATCAAGTAAAAAAGAAATTCGCACGAAGCCCATTGTCACAATTTGTTGTTTGTACACGAAGCAAAAGCGCTATTGGCCTTGCCTAATCGCGGAGAGTCGTGCTTTTGGTGACGCAAAGCAAGGCATTGAACCGAGAACGAGTGCGTTTCGGAAAATTCATCAGTTGTATTTCAAAAGTACAGCAATCAAATCTAATCCGATACATTTTCATGATTAAACTAAAACTATTGTAAACCGCAAAGAGAACGATAATTTGTTCATTGACGCGTAATTATTAAATTTTTTTTACTCTCAACCATTGAATACATGATCGTTGCCGATTTTGCTCATGCAATTATCAGCTGACAATTTCTTTTCTTTCCTTAAATCTATCAAACTAGCTAATGTATATCCCTGATTACGTGTCTCACGGCAATGGTGTTACATCGTCGAGAAAGGTCGTGTTATCGAACCAAAGATAGAGAAATATTATCA